ACCACTGACAACTGTGGACACCACGAACCACTGACAACTGTGGACACCACGAACCACTAACAACTGTGGACACCACGAACCACTGACAACTGTGGACACCACGAACCACTGACAGCTGTGGACACCGCGAACCACTGACAGCTGTGGACACCACGAACCACTGACAGCTGTGGACACCACGAACCACTGACAGCTGTGGACACCGCGAACCACTGACAGCTGTGGACACCACGAACCACTGACAACTGTGGACACCGCGAACCACTGACAGCTGTGGACACCACGAACCACTGACAGCTGTGGACACCACGAACCACTGACAACTGTGGACACCACGAACCACTGACAGCTGTGGACACCACGAACCACTGACAGCTGTGGACACCACGAACCACTGACAACTGTGGACACCACGAACCACTGACAGCTGTGGACACCACGAACCACTGACAGCTGTGGACACCACGAACCACTGACAACTGTGGACACCACGAACCACTGACAGCTGTGGACACCAGACACCGGAGCATTAAAAATAATGCCCCGGACAAACTTAAGTCAGGTGACGTTGATATAACATTGTGTCATTATTGATGCTATTGATTACAGATTACTCAAGTGTGACCCATTAGTCAGTGATGCCGGAATGCTGCGGTCTCATCCTCCACAATAATGGGGAACCAGCCTACCATTCCTTGCGAAAAAGGGATGGAAGGGTGACGGGTGGAGGGACTGAGCAGCACAAATAGAGTGTTCACAGCATCAGTATGAACACTTTCATCCCAGAACAACCCCTGTCGGAAAATCCGACACCATTTAATATCATACAGACAGATAATAAGTGCTGCTGTATTACCAACAAGTTACCCATAGAAAACGTAACTTGTAGTGGAATTACCGTCTAAAGAAAACGGGATATCATCACCACATACTATTATAATTCACCAGCTATTCTGCTGGGAATTGTTCTTAAATACATTAGTCTTTGGACTTTACCATCATAAAAACATCTTATATAAATTAACTTAATTATCAATATTAAAGTAGAGTAAATGTGACCCTTCTATCACTTTCTGAAATCTGGACAAAGTAGGCCAGGGGTCAGAGGGAGGAAGAAGGGCAGCCATTGTTGTGTCACCTCCGAGACGTGTGGAGCAAATTTGGCTCCTATCATTCTGGACAATGTCGGCCAGTAACGTCAATAGTATGGAGTGTTAAACAGTCATTGTTTTATACTAGACCAGAGGCTCACACGGGAGCAAATTCGGCTCCTGTTAATTTACTTGGACGTAGTGTTATGGAAACCAAAGGTACCATCTCCAACACGATGTCTACAATTCAAGTTAAGTCTATCCGAAACCCGTTTATCATTCATTTATGGCCATTAATGTCAGGATATAGGGTGAGCTGGTTAGATCACGTGGAAGCCTCAAACTAAAGGTAATTAAGCCAGGTCTTTAATGTTCCATGTACTGTATAGTGTTTTCTCTGATATAACTTGTCATATATAGGTATCTGGCTTCACAGCTAGCGCACTTTTGACAGGTCAAGACGAGGAAGGAAGATTTATGCACCAGTTACTGGGTGATATGGAAGCTACCTCAAAGAGGATAATTTGGTGTCTACACCCTAGTTATACCTGGTGGACTAACCTGCTGTACTATAAGATAAGGAACCTCTTCAATGTATGTAGTTAATTTTGTAGTTTGATTGGCTGCATATATATTCAATTAATAAACCCCCCTAATGTGTAGAGGATCGATTTGTGAGATTGAGATTATTGCAGAAATACAGTCCACTTATCATTATACAAATTGCTATCGAAGTATATAAATTAACGTAAATATAAATTCATATAAATTAAATAAATATAAATCTCACAGGTCGGTTCCCACAACCCCAGGGGAAGAGGCACAGGTAAAGTCAGGACAAAAGACAGAGCCAGAGCATCTAAGTGACCGCCTCCGGAATGGGGGGAGGCTCTATAGTGTTCCCGGCGCTCTATTTCTCAACAAAGGCAAGTCGGTTCTTCCCAAAGCCAAGATACACACACCACAGCTCTCTAAGAAGGTCAGAAACTCAAGTTGGCATCACACAGGGACGGGACCCGCAGGTGTCACTGTCTTGTCTAACGTTCATCACTCGTTGCGGCTCATCACATGTCCTAAGACACTCTAGGCGACTCACCGTTTGTCCTAAGACACTCTAGGCGACTCACCGTTTGTCCTAAGACACTCTAGGCGACTCACCGTTTGTCCTAAGACACTCTAGGTGATTCACCGTTTGTCCTGAGACACTCAGGGTGACTCACCGTTTGTCCTAAGACAATCTAGGTGACTCATTATGTCACTCAGGAGTGATTATCTTTTTTAGTTCTACCATTTTTTGGAACGACTGCATGAAGATATTTGCGGAATATCGAGACACCGTTTCAAAGTCTCAAAGCCCTCCGTTAGCGAGCATAAGAAATATTGCCGGAACAACCGTGGACATCTTCAAGATGAAACTAGATTGTTTCCTCCAAGGGGGTGCCGGACCAACCGGGCTGTGGTGGGTACGTGGGCCTGCGGGCCGCTCCAATTAACAGCCTGGTGGACCAAACTCTCACAAGTCAGATTTGGCCTCGGGCCGGGCTTGAGGAGTAGAAGAACTCCCAGAACCCCATCATCCAGGTATAACCCTTCACATCTCCCGTACCTTCACTCACTAACTCACTCACTTAGGTAAGTACTAAGCTGAGGTGTTGTAGGAGAGAGAGAGGGGTGTTACACCATAGTAAGTTTAAGCGTACACACATCACACAATGCAGGAGTATAGCTGACAAAAGAGGGACAGTTTCATGGCCCAAGAGCTGAAGTCGCCATGACGATCACAGTCGAAGGCTCAAGGCATTATTTATGTCACACAACAGCCACAAGCACCGACGTCTCGAAAGAGAGAGGGGCGGTATGCAGTGCCCTCAGCACTGCGACCCGTCTCTCTCCCTCCAAGGGGGCGCAGGAACGAACCCCGAAGTCATGTGGCCACACACACTTGAGCGACATTCTTGGCGCGTCCTCCGGTCGGAGAGGAAGTATGACGTGGGCCCTCTCTTCATACTGGCTCGATACAAGACATTAACATACTCCCTTTCAGCCCTGATTGTCATGCTCAAGATATACCTCCAACATGCTTGTGGCTGAGGAAAGGCAGATACATGGAAATCACAAATGGGGGAACTAGTCAGTCTCCAACGACTCCCATCCCAAATTGGCCTCCAAATGCATGACACAACTGATGAGTTTGACAACGCACGTGTTCTTAAAGACGGAGCTGGTTATCAACTTGGATAATGTCTTTTGGGTGCCTGAGGGGTCGTAAGATACCGGAAACTCCAAGTTTAAATGACCCAGAGAAACGGGGCAATTTACACCAGTTAATGAATCGTTCATGACACTTACTAAGCAAGAAGTAGTGAGTAAATAAGTATGGAGTCATCCGATAACATCAGGATGACTTAGGTCTTTAGGGGGATGAGTTTACCCCTTAGGTCTTTAGGGGGACGAGTTTACCCCTTAGGTCTTTAGGGGGACGAGTTTACCCCTTAGGTCTTTAGGGGGACGAGTTTACCACTTAGGTCTTTAGGGGGACGAGTTTACCCCTTAGGTCTTTAGGGGGTAGAGTTTACCCCTTAGGTCTTTAGGGGGACGAGTTTACCCCTTAGGTCTTTAGGGGGACGAGTTTACCCCTTAGGTCTTTAAGGGTAGAGTCAGGCCTCACTACCTTGCTACTCCTCACATGTAGGATACACACAGCAAAGTACTTCATTAACACTATAAGTGACTCTCAGCTACAATACACTTCAATCCCGCAGACGGGGGATCGAAAAGCTGCAATTAGGCTTATCGAGAGCCTACCCCTCCCCCCTCCCTTTTAGGCCTACTGCTGACCTTCCCCAAGTGCAGCCAACGTATTCAAAACACAAAACAAAAAACAGAACTTAACCAACTGGAAGTAAAGTACTGAAATGGGTGAACTTGGTGTGATTCTCTCCATAACATCAGGAGGCCTGGTCGACGACCGGGCCGCGGGGACACTAAGCCCCGGAAGCACCTCAAGGTAGCCTCAAGGTAACATTACATACAGATATTTGGGCTATCTTTCTTATCTGGACATACTGTCTCTTCATCTTACGCAAGTGGTAAGGGAGATGATGATGAAAATGATGATGATGGTGATGATAATGGTGTTCCTGGTCCATGGTGACTACATTCATCTTATTAAATTGTGAAAAATATCTCACATATTCATCCTATATCACTCCTCTAAACTCTAAAGCCTCTATAATTAAATCATATAATAAATGAATTATTTTGGTTAACTTATATGTGTGTAATGACCACCCCATGAAAAACAGCCTAATTAGGTCTGTTTTAATTTATATTAAAGCAGTCGTTAGGGGAAAAATATATCACAAATGCCTTCCATCAAAGCAAACCCAACAACAATGTGACTGATTAAATTACCTTTACATAGTTAATGTTTAATAATTATCACTTCGGCTCGGTAACGACGCAGCATTGCGTCGTCAGACTAATTACGGAATAGGCAGAAAAGTAAACTCCTGAAGCTCTCAAATTCTTTTCTAGATAAGGGGCTTTAATAACTGTTTTTTTTTTATTTATTTATGTATTCAAGAGTTCCTACACTCTTGAACAGCCACTAGCACGCATAGCGTTTCGGGCAAGTTCTTAAATCATAATTTTCCCTGGAATACAACCCGCTAAATCGTTTAACAACCAGGTACCCATTTTACTGTTGGGTAAACAGAGGCTACAGTTAAGGATTGGCGCCCAGTAAATCCTCCCCGGCCAGGATACGAACACATGCCAAAGTGCTCGCGAAACGCCAGGCGAGTATATCACCATTTCGCCACGGGGCTTAAACGACGTTAACATGCAAAATTCATGTGTAATATACATATATCAAGAGAGTATCGGGGGGAGGATATGTGTACTCACAGCAGGAAGAGCGAAGAAGGATATGGCGAACACACTGAAGCAGGAGGCAACAATTTTCCCCATCCAGGTCCTGGGGACGGTGTCACCGTAGCCTATCGTCGTCACAGTTATCTGAGGAAGGAGGAGAAAATTCAGGTCGACATATCTGAGTTAACGCGGGTATTACTAGTGAGGATATCCAGTGGGGCTGTGAGGTGGGCGCGAACCCGCGACCAAGGCAGTGCTAGTCGCATGCTCCACCACTGTGGTTGGCAAGGCCTTGGTTCGCGAGTTCGCATCGTCTCACAGCCCCAGTGCAACCCCCGTCCTCGACTCAAGTCCATTCCATCCTGCAGTCGACCCCACAGACGCATTCCTAAGTTTTAACATGCAGTTCATTCGAAACGGGAATTTTCTCAAATGTAAATTAATATTATAATATATTAGCATATTGTGCATATATAGGTTAGGTCAGGTGTTTAGGTTCTGTTGGCGATTATTTGTATTTGTAGTACGTGGATGAAGCATTTACAGCGTTGTGGTTCAAACAAAATTCGTCAGTGAAGCACTTGTTCGAACGTCAGCAGTTGTGAGTCGTGTGTAAACCAGCCCGTCCTCCAAACAAAGATCCAAAAGTGATTCCATGCACCAGCCAAACCCCCTGTTTATGAATGAAAAGCGGTTTACACACGACTCACAACTGCTGACGTTCGAACATATTCGGAATAAGTGCTTCACTGACGAATTTTGTTCGAACCACAACGCTGTAAATGCTTCACCCACGTACTACAAATACAAATAATCGCCAACAGAACCTAAACACTAACCTAACCTAACCTATGCCTATTTATACACAATATGCTAATATATTATAATATTAATTTATACTTGAGAAAATTCCCGTTTTGAATGAACAGCATGTTAAAATTTATGAATGCGTCTGTGGGGTCGACCGCTGGATGTAATGGACTTGAGTCGAGGATGGGTTGGTGTAAACCGTTTTTCATTCATAAACAGGTGGTTTGGCGGGTGCATGGAATCACTTTTGGGTCTTTGTTTGGAGGACGAGCTGCCCAATGGATACTCTCATAGATGTATACCACGTTAATGTGATTGTCTGTGTGAATATTAGTATTAGTATTCTCTTTCGATTCAAAAGTATTTGTTGTAGCCGATCTTTACACTAAGCCTAATAAATTCTCAGGTCAAATAAAATAAGACTAGCTGGCATTTGAGCAATTATACTAAAGTATAATTGCAGGCGATGAGTCACAATAACGTGGCTAAAGTAAGTTGACTAGACCACACATTAGAAGGTGAAGGGACGACGACGTTTCGGTCCGTCCTGGACCATTCTCAAGTCGATCGACTTGAGAATGGTCCAGGACGGACCGAAACGTCGTCGTCCCTTCACCACCTAGTGTGTGGTCTGGTCAACTAAAGTATAATTAAATAAAAAATGATTTTGATTGAATAAGAAAAGCAACTTTTTGAACTGTTTCATTTACGATCAAGTTCAAATCCATAGTCTGTTTTGAACACTCCTAATAGAGAGTCGCATTTTTGACGCATACTTCACCTAACGTAAAATATCGTCGTATTAGAAAATGGAAGTGGCTCGCGAAACTAACACACTATCCCGTTTTCTGTTTTGGGTCCTCTGGTAGGTTAGGATAAGGGGAAATTTAGTAGGGCAGCTTCTTGACGATGGGGAAACCTTAGGAGGACGGGTTGGATCGTAACAAGCCGTCAAGAGGCAGTTGTAATGGTGCTTCCTGACCATCTTAATGCCTCCTTACCTTCTTTGAGAGTCATGCCCCATTCTTAGCCAACCTCATGCCAAACACACACCGAAACTACGACGTTGGTACAACGTTCGAACAAGATTTTAACACCTCCTAACCAGTTATAACAACCAATATAGCAAGTTGTAACAACGTTCTAATACGTCATAAACACGTTAAGCCAAGATGTAACAACTTTATTACAAGTTGTAACAAGCGGAAAATGGAGACAGTTTCGGTCTCGGTAATGATATATATATATATATATATATATATATATATATATATATATATATATATATATATATATATATATATATATATATATATATATATATATATATATATATATATATATATTCACCCCAGAAGTGACTCGAACCCATACTGCCAGGAGCAACGCAACTGGTATGTACAGGTACGCCTTAATCCGCTTGACCATCATGACCGGACAAAAGGAAGTGATAGCCGAAGCTATTTGAACCACTTCCCGCCGGCACTCGGATGGTAATCTTGGGCATAGCATTTTATCAAATCACCTCATTCTTTGGGGCACACGTGAGGAACACAAATGCAAACAAGCCTGAATGGTCCCCAGGACTATATACAACTGAAAACTCACACCCCAGAAGTGACTCGAACCCATACTGCCAGGAGCAACGCAACTGGTATGTACAGGGACGCCTTAATCCGCTTGACCATCACGACCGGACAAAAGGAAGTGATAGCCGAAGCTATTTGAACCACTTTCCCGCCGGCACTCGGATGGTAATCTTGGGCATAGCATTTTATCAATTATGAGGTTATTTGATAAAATGCTATGCCCAAGATTACCATCCGAGTGCCGGCATGGAAGTGGTTCAAATAGCTTCGGCTATCACTTCCTTTTGTCCGGTAGTGATGGTCAAGCGGATTAAGGCGTCCCTGTACATACCAGTACTAGTTCTGTCCCAATGCTATCACCACCAGTACTGTCCCAATGCTATCATTATTAGTACTGTCCCAATGCTATCATTACTAGTCCTGTCCCAATGCTCTCATTACCAGTACTGTCCCAATGCTATCATTACCAGTACTGTCCCAATGCTATCATTACTAGTCCTGTCCCAATACTATCACCACCAGTACTGTCCCAATGCTATCATTACCAGTACTGTCCCAATGCTATCATTACTAGTCCTGTCCCAATGTTATCATTACTAGTCCTGTCCCAATGCTATCACCACCAGTACTGTCCCAATGCTATCATTACCAGTACTGTCCCAATGCTATCATTACTAGTCCTGTCCCAATGCTATCACCACCAGTACTGTCCCAATGCTATCATTACCAGTACTGTCCCAATGCTATCATTACCAGTACTGTCCCAATGCTATCATTATTAGTACTGTCCCAATGCTATCATTACTAGTCCTGTCTCAATGCTATCATTACTAGTCCTGTCCCAATGCTATCATTACTAGTCCTGTCCCAATGCTATCACCACCAGTACTGTCCCAATGCTATCATTACTAGTCCTGTCCCAATGCTATCATTACTAGTCCTGTCCCAATGCTATCACCACCAGTACTGTCCCAATGCTATCATTACTAGTCCTGTCCCAATGCTATCATTACTAGTCCTGTCCCAATGCTATCATTACTAGTCCTGTCCCAATGCTATCACCACCAGTACTGTCCCAATGCTATCATTACTAGTCCTGTCTCAATGCTATCATTACTAGTCCTGTCCCAATGCTATCACCACCAGTACTGTCCCAATGCTATCATTACTAGTCCTGTCTCAATGCTATCATTACTAGTCCTGTCCCAATGCTATCACCACCAGTACTGTCCCAATGCTATCATTACTAGTCCTGTCCCAATGCTATCATTACTAGTCCTGTCCCAATGCTATCATTACTTGTCCTGTCCCAATGCTATCACCACCAGTACTGTCCCAATGCTATCATTACCAGTACTGTCCCAATGCTATCATTACTAGTCCTGTCCCAATGCTATCATTACCAGTCCTGTCCCAATGCTATCATTACTAGTTCTGTCCCAATGATATCATTACTAGTCCTGTCCCAATGCTATCATTACTAGTCCTGTCCCAATGCTATCATTACTAGTCCTGTCCCAATGCTATCATTACTAGTCCTGTCCCAATGCTATCATTACTAGTCCTGTCCCAATGCTATCATTACTAGTTCTGTCCCAATGCTATCACCACCAGTACTGTCCCAATGCTATCATTATTAGTACTGTCCCAATGCTATTATTACTAGTACTGTCCCAATGCTATCATTACTAGTACTCTCCTTAATGCTTTCACTACCAGTAAAACTTGTTACCATCTTCTTGAGAAGGCCATGATCCCTAAATCCTGAGGCTATCTTGAGATGATTTCGGGGCGTAGCGTCCCCGCGGCCCGGTCCTCGACCAGGCCTCCTATTTATTACACACACACACACACAGGAAGCAGCCCGTAGCATCTACTGCCCCCTCTGAGAGTAGACTCACCACCCCCCACCAGAGGGCATCGGCGTAGCTGGAGAAGTCGCCTTCTGCCTCCTCCTCGTCATCATCCTTCTTCTCAGCGAGGTACACGAAGTACGAGGAGAAGATGAGGCCCAAGAACCCGATGTATAGTGTAGTTATCAACTCCTGTTGACAGAAAATGGGAATCAATACATGGCGGTATTTAACGTTAATTTTTATTCATTTTTTTAGATATTGTGAATTTGATAGTGTACAGGTTATATTTGCTAGTGCAGGCGATGAGTCACGATAACGTGGCTGAAGTATGTTGACCAGACCACACACACTAGAAGGTGAAGGGACGACGGCGTTTCGGTCCGTCGTGGACTATTCTGAAGTCGATTGTGAGAATGGTTCAGGACGGACCGAAACGTCGTCGTCGTCGTCCCTTCACCTTCTAGTGTGTGTGGTCTGGTTAATATATTTCCTGGTGTTTAAAGTCCTCTCTGATGTATATTATTTCTCGGGAGAGCTAGCGTTATATAAGTGGTGGTCACAGGAGACAGTTCTATGGCGTTATATAAATGGTGGTCACAGGAGACAGTTCTATGGCGTTATATAAATGGTGGTCACAGGAGACAGTTCTATGGCGTTATATAAATGGTGGTCACAGGAGACAGTTCTATGGCGTTATATAAGTGGTGGTCACAGGAGACAGTTCTATGGCGTTATATAAATGGTGGTCACAGGAGACAGTTCTATGGCGTTATATAAATGGTGGTCACAGGAGACAGTTCTATGGCGTTATATAAATGGTGGTCACAGGAGACAGTTCTATGGCGTTATATAAATGGTGGTCACAGGAGACAGTTCTATGGCGTTATATAAATGGTGGTCACAGGAGACAGTTCTATGGCGTTATATAAATGGTGGTCACAGGAGACAGTTCTATGGCGTTATATAAATGGTGGTCACAGGAGACAGTTCTATGGCGTTATATAAGTGGTGGTCACAGGAGACAGTTCTATGGCGTTATATAAATGGTGGTCACAGGAGACAGTTCTATGGCGTTATATAAATGGTGGTCACAGGAGACAGTTCTATGGCGTTATATAAATGGTGGTCACAGGAGACAGTTCTATGGCGTTATATAAATGGTGGTCACAGGAGACAGTTCTATGGCGTTATATAAGTGGTGGTCACAGGAGACAGTTCTATGGCGTTATATAAATGGTGGTCACAGGAGACAGTTCTATGGCGTTATATAAATGGTGGTCACAGGAGACAGTTCTATGGCGTTATATAAATGGTGGTCACAGGAGACAGTTCTATGGCGTTATATAAATGGTGGTCACAGGAGACAGTTCTATGGCGTTATATAAATGGTGGTCACAGGAGACAGTTCTATGGCGTTATATAAATGGTGGTCACAGGAGACAGTTCTATGGCGTTATATAAATGGTGGTCACAGGAGACAGTTCTATGGCGTTATATAAATGGTGGTCACAGGAGACAGTTCTATGGCGTTATATAAATGGTGGTCACAGGAGACAGTTCTATGGCGTTATATAAATGGTGGTCACAGGAGACAGTTCTATGGCGTTATATAAATGGTGGTCACAGGAGACAGTTCTATGGCGTTATATAAATGGTGGTCACAGGAGACAGTTCTATGGCGTTATATAAATGGTGGTCACAGGAGACAGTTCTATGGCGTTATATAAATGGTGGTCACAGGAGACAGTTCTATGGCGTTATATAAATGGTGGTCACAGGAGACAGTTCTATGGCGTTATATAAATGGTGGTCACAGGAGACAGTTCTATAAGTGATTTTTTTTATCATTAATACAAAATGTTCACTTTTTTCAAGTAAAAGTTCATAAATTGAGTTCTTAGTTTATGTATTGTTCTACTCTTATCATCCGTGATACTGGTCGATTGCGACTATCACCTGATCACCTTGTTCACCCTGCTTGTGCACCCGTCTCGCTGAACAAGTGCCAGGCAGCCTATCATAAGGATAAGGTAAGGATAAGATAAGGTAAGGATAAGTCCCTGGATAAGGTAAACTGTGGTTCACCCACTCTGCCACTACTCGTTTCATCCCTGGAAACACAAACCGAAACTGTCTCTATTTTCCGTTTGTTACAACTTGTAATAAAGTTGTTACGTCTTGGCTTAACGTGTTTATGACGTATTAAAACGTTGTTACAACTTGCTATATTGGTTGTTATAACTGGTTAGGAAGTGTTAAAACTTGTTCGAACGTTGTACCAACGTCGTAGTTTCGGTGTGTGTTTGGCAGGATATATCCCTTTGCTCCGGCCTCCACCCGCCAAACACACACCGAAACTACGACGTTGGTACAACGTTCGAACAAGTTTTAACACCTCCTAACCAGTTATAACAACCAATAGAGCAAGTTGTAACAACGTTCTAATACGCCATAAACACGTTAAGTCAAGATGTAACAACTTTATTACATGTTGTAACAAGCGGAAAATCGAGACAGTTACGGTTTGTGTTTCCAGGGCATACACTTTTCTAATTCCTATATCCATCACTCATTCCAACAAGAGCAGATTTTCGAATATATAAAAAAAGACACCAGTTCGCAGCTTGTAGATAAACCATGAAGTAGGCCAACGATAACCTTGCTTAGGATATAGTCCACATTTTTTTTTTTTGAGATATATACAAGAGTTATTACATTCTTGTACAGCCACTAGTACGCGTAGCGTTTCGGGCAGGTCCCTGGAATACGATCCTCGCCGCGAAGAATCCTTGTTACAACCAAGTACCCATTTTACTGTTGCGTTAAACAGAGACTACAGTTAAGGATTTGCGCCCAGTAAATCCTCCCCGGCCAGGATATGAACCCATGACAAAGCGCTCGCGGAACGCCAGGCGAGTGTCTTACCACTGCACCACGGAGATTCACGGTGCGCAATTCCTGCCTTGCATCCTGGCAATGTTGGTGATGCCGAAGGTGTGTTCCTGTTAGCGATCATTGCAGCCTCGAACTGAGGCTGGTCTTTGTATCTCTCAAGATACGAACTTCGTCTCCGGTTCAGGGGCTCCATGAATCCTAGCGTATCCAGTACTATACCAATTAGACCACACTGACTGTACAAAAGTCAGTACTATACCAACTAGACCACACTGACTGTACAAAAGTCAGTACTATACCAACTAGACCACACTGACTGTACAAAAGTCAGTACTATACCAACTAGACCACACTGACTACAAAAGTCAGTACTATACCAACTAGACCACACTGACTGTACAAAAGTCAGTACTATACCAACTAGACCACACTGACTGTACAAAAGTCAGTACTATACCAACTAGACCACACTGACTGTACAAAAGTCAGTACTATACCAACTAGACCACACTGACTGTACAAAAGTCAGTACTATACCAACTAGACCACACTGACTGTACAAAAGTCAGTACTATACCAACTAGACCACACTGACTGTACAAAAGTCAGTACTATACCAACTAGACCACACTGACTGTACAAAAGTCAGTACTATACCAACTAGACCACACTGACTGTACGAAAGTCAGTACTATACCAACTAGACCACACTGACTGTACAAAAGTCAGTACTATACCAACTAGACCACACTGACTGTACAAAAGTCAGTACTACACCAACTAGACCACACTGACTGTACAAAAGTCAGTACTACACCAACTAGACCACACTGACTGTACAAAAGTCAGTACTACACCAACTAGACCACACTGACTGTACAAAAGTCAGTACTACACCAACTAGACCACACTGACTGTACAAAAGTCAGTACTATACCAACTAGACCACACTGACTGTACAAAAGTCAGTACTATACCAACTAGACCACACTGACTGTACAAAAGTCAGTACAATACCAACTAGACCACACTGACTGTACAAAAGTCAGTACTATACCAACTAGACCACACTGACTGTACAAAAGTCAGTACTACACCAACTAGACCACACTGACTGTACAAAAGTCAGTACTATACCAATAAGACTAACTATCCCATGAGGCCTGTCATCAGTTCTGTGGGATCCATTTCCTATACCCAAATCCAGCCCGCCAAACACACACCGAAACTACGACGTTGGTGCAACGTTCCAACAAGTTTTAACACTTCCTAACCAGTTATAACAACCAATATAGCAAGTTGTAACAACGTTCTAATACGTCATAAACACGTTAAGCCAAGATGTAACAACTTTATTACAAGTTGTAACAAGCGGAAAATAGAGATAGTTTCGGTTTGTGTTTCCAGGGAGGCGCCTAATAAGAGCATGTCTGTTGTAGCCATTACCGTGATTACATAAGGAAAAATTTGTCTTCCTAAGTTAGAATAACAATACATTTACTATGACATGATCTAATTTATACTGAAACTGCAAAGGATTATTATATGGTGCATATCATGTTTATATATGTAAATATATTTACTATTTTTGGGGTTAATATGAAACTTCAAGAGTGAGAGTCCTTTGAGTAACTAAGAAAAACATGGTTTCCCCTTGAACCCATTCTATCATTTAATTGAACAAGCAGCAAGTGAATTACTATATTTTTTAATATAACGAACCTCATATATATATTTTTAACATATAGCACATCGCACAGCTCATAAACTTTGAGTATTCACAAAGACCTTACACATCTTACCCCCAATCAGTCCGTGCTTCGAAGTGCTTCGAAGTGATTCGAAGTGCTTCGAAGTGCTTCGAAGTGCTTCGAAATATACCACAATAACCTTGGGTTGAGGTCGACCTCTTAGCACTTTGGAGCTCGTAAGAGGCACAACTGTCATAAGTAGAGGCGTAAGTGCTGCGTGAATGTCTTGGTATACAGAGAGAGAAAAATCTTACTTGTCTGTGGATGAAGACGACGGAGCCCAACAGTCTCCACGTGCCTCCTTGTCTGTCCACGTGGAGCATTCTTAAGATTTGCAGGAATCGAATCCCTCTTATGGCTGAAGTGGCGAACACCTGGCCGTTCGACCCCACACAGAGAACCACCACGGACGCTACCACTACTATGAGATCTGTCACCAGGCAGAGAAATGGTTGTGGTTGACGATTATTGAGGCTTATAGTCGTTGGTGGTGGTGATGGTGGTTGCTGATGTGTGTGTGGTGGTGGTGGTGGTGGTGGTAATGGTTGTTGATGTACTTGGTAAATGATGTGCTTGATAGAGATTGTTGAAGTTTATGGTGATTGTGGTGGATGTGCTTACTGGTTGTGGTAGTGGTGGTAGGTAACAATGGTTCACTGTGATCACAGTGAACGTAACACTGTTAGTGGTAAGTGGCAGTTTAACAATTAAACGATGATCAGAACTGCTGTCAAAACACAATCATAAATTATTATATAACAAAAACATCAGGGTCGTAAATCGACCAAAACAATTTATTATATACACAAGGAAAAGCAGCATATTTACAAGAAAAAAATAACTCTGTAATACATATTAATACATAACAGAAAGCAGTAGACTATAACCACAGAGACAATGAAACATTCTTTTTGACTTAACTACAATTCCTATAAAAGGTGACTTTGATACTATTTATAAATATAAATATATTTATTTATATTTAGAATTTTAGGGGCGCCACCTAGGCTCGCCACCTAGGGGCCTCCAGGCCAAATCAAAACGAATCTCGATGCGCAACCCGCGACCGTTAACCTTTAAGTCTTCAAACCGCCAAAGAATTCCCGCGCGATTCGGAGGCGCCGCGGCGCGCTTCCGCCCAATAGACGCATCAATACTATTGGCAATTTGATGTTCCACACTGAAGATATCACGCGTAATGGGAACGCCGGGGAATGTATAAGTGGACTCACAGGCCACCAATCACGGCTCGGTTAGAAATTAGAAGGAATTGGCTGAGTCAGGTTTCCTGTTTAAATATTATTTATTTGGTTCATAGAAAACTTGGACTGTGTGATTTGAAGGGTGACTGTAGTAGACTATTTTAAATGCTTATTCATGTGGTATTCGTTCAATAACTGAATTGTGTTTGCGTCGCTTGTTTTTTTTCAAATGATTGTTACCTGCTTCTTATATATATTTATTTTCATGATAATAAATACAATCATTAATCTTTTGGAATCATAGTATCCATGTGTGTACATACGACTCGACATCAGCAAGGCTCTACATCATCACTACAATTAACACATAATTACAATCTACCCACTTCAAGACCCCGAGCCAGCACAGTACAGGTGTGTAACAGGTATACAGCTGCTGCCAGAGTCTTCATGATTACAGGTGTGTCTGTTTGCCTCTCCCAGTAACAACGTCACAGGAGAGAGTACAATATTTCCAACATTTTCCTGTTCTATATTTCATTTCCAACCTAACAAGGGGAGCAGAGTCGACCACTTGTGCTAAATCCAATTATTCAGGACGTCGTTTGGAAATATATGATTCTCACACACACACACTCACACACACACATATATATATATATATATATATATATATATATATATATATATATATATATATATATATATATATATATATATATATATATATATATATAGGGGGGTACCACCACTGGTGTAATTATAGGGACCCACAGCCTCAGAGAAGGGAACACAGAGCACTCAGGGAAAAACTTGACATTTAACTCTGAATACGAAAGAGTGTTCACTTCTCCTACCACCCCCTTTTTTTTTTATTATGATGTACACTTTATTATGCAAGGTTATACAGTTACATATCTGATTTTATACAAAAAATGAACATTAAGAGGACACAAGAAAAAGTTCGCTTCCTAGAGGCTGTAGATTTCCTCGAACTCCTCCGACGCCGGGCAGGAACCGAGGATGCAGCGGGCATTCCCCCTCTGGATCGCGACACTGAGGCGCTGAAAGAGAAAACTTGCTGCTCTAGGGTCTCTTGTGGTGTCAATGAGCTTGGAACCAAGATCCTTAAGAAACCTTCTTGCACTCTCACCCCATGGTCCTAGGGTCTCAGACCCTATTGGAACGAAATTGTACCTTTGATCTAATTGCCTGTACTTGACTGACTTTTGTTTTTCTCTGTGTGTCGCTGCGGCTCCTGCCGTGCCGGCAGAGAGGGTGATGTATGTCGTTGCCAGGGTGGATACGCAAGTATAGTCCCATGCTAACTGCCTGCCACCCTTCCACGGACGCAGTGTGATTCCGTCTGGTCGGCCGGCAAAGCTAACAGAGTCACGGTTCAGTAGGTTGCGGGGCTCTCTCTCTGCTGGACACTGAGCAGAGGCAAGGCTTCTTTTAATGATGTCGTTGACTTCGTCGTGTCTAGTGTGCCAACCACCCGATTTTCCACAGTGCAGGCCATGCAATCCATATTCGTCAGCATCTGCCTCGCCGCAAATACACCTGTGAACAGTGTGGATAGGGGCAGCAAGGCGGAGAGCGACTGCAATACGGAGCTCCTGCGGATCAAGACGTGTGCCTGTCGCAGACATAGGGACTGCCAGAAGGAAGTCCCCTGCATGGGGAGCCTGCACAGCTGTGAGGCGTGCACGATCACTGGGGGTTGTTGCTGCCTCCAGCAAAGCTGTGGCTTCTTTGTCTACAATGGGGCTGTCCCAACTGGATTGTTTCTTGGCTTTCGGCATGGCTGGTCTGAGTGCTGGGTCTGTCATGGCACCCCATTTCGTGTCACATTCCGTGTAGTGGGGGTCCTGTATCCCCGCTACATCACTCAGGGTGTCAGGTAGAATTTCATTAACCAGGTCATCTGATGCTGAGGAGGAAGACAGGAATATATATATATATATATATATATATATATATATATATATATATATATATATATATATATATATATATATATATATATATATATATATATATATATATATTAATATATATATATAATTAAATATATATTAATATATATATAATAATAATATATATATATATATATATATATATATATATATATATATATATATATATATATATATATATATTAGATTTTCCCAATAAGAAGAATTCCTTTAACAATTTATTTAATCTTTTTAGGCACTGACAGATACATTCAATTAAACATTTAAAATAGGCAATTTTATATATTTTGAACCAAGACTAACTTGGAAATCTTACTTAAACTAAATATGCCGTTTATATTTCAGTTCTGCCTAACTTAAATTCGAACCGTATTAAAGAATGACTTAAATTCAAATAGATCAATATTATGATCCATGCAAATTCCCCCAAAGACAAAGTGAAAACAAAATAGCTTAATTGGACGGTCCGAGCCTCGCTAACTAAGCCATTAAGGTGATCTGAATATTGGGCAATTATGACGTAATTGGTGATGGTGGGAGATGTTCCTGACCATTCTTAAACTAGCCAGTTCTGGCCTCTATCTCCTAAACTGTTTCTCTTTCCTCCAAACAAATTTTTGTATTTCTTTCGGTTTTCTTCACTACAGTCCCACTCGGTTCTGTTGGCCAATATGACCCTATCACTATCCCACCTCATATCTATCCCACCTCATGCCTATCCCACTCCATCCCTATCCCACCCCATCCCTATGTGCTTTCTCCTCCTCAATCTTGCTTCCACACATGCTTTCTATCCGGATCCCAGTCTTCCATCCTAACCACTTTCACCCACCTATCCCTCCTATCCCTCCCCATCACCCACCTACCCCTCCTATCCCTCCCCATCACCCACACTCACCCACCTACCCTTCCTCCCCCTTACAGCATGTCATACAAAAGGGATACTTTATCCATGAATTAAAAAAAAATGCCTGAAAGCTCTCGAGGGCAAAATTTCAGAAAACTGTCTAATCTATCCCGTTTTATTATAAATTCTAGTCGAGGGACCCGGCAGTGCCCGGGTGCCTGGCGGGCAGGAGCCCCAGAACCACTACCCCACAAGCTTCACTATTCACTATACCCCACAAGCTTCACTATTCACTATTCTGACGTCTTCACTATCATGGCCTATCTCCTCATTTCTCGGCACCCAATTTGCAGATCTTCAGAATACAAATTGCACCATAACAGTTTGCCTCGTCATTGCAAACTTGGCTTGATATAGTGTGGGGCTTGATATAGTGTGGGGCTTGATATAGTGTGGGGCTTGATATAGTGTGGGGCTTGATATAGTGTGGGGCTTGATATAGTGTGGGGCTTGATATAGTGTGGGGCTTGATATAGTGTGGGGCTTCATATAGTGTGGGGCTTGATATAGTGTGGGGCTTGATATAGTGTGGGGCTTGATATAGTGTGGGGCTTGATATAGTGTGGGACTTGATATAGTGTGGGGCTTGATATAGTGTGGGGCTTGATATAGTGTGGGGCTTGATATAGTGTGGGGCTTCATATAGTGTGGGGCTTGATATAGTGTGGGGCTTGATATAGTGTGGGGCTTGATATAGTGTGGGGCTTGATATAGTGTGGGGCTTGATATAGTGTGGGGCTTGATATAGTGTGGGGCTTCATATAGTGTGGGGCTTGATATAGTGTGGGGCTTCATATAGTGTGGGGCTTGATATAGTGTGGGGCTTGATATAGTGTGGGGCTTGATATAGTGTGGGGCTTCATATAGTGTGGGGCTTGATATAGTGTGGGGCTTCATATAGTGTGGGGCTTCATATAGTGTGGGGCTTCATATAGTGTGGGGCTTCACTACACTTGGTCTCCACCATTCCGACACTGTGTCTGACCTTCCGGGGTCCCCCAGGGGCTCCCCAGAGCCCGGAATGTGGTGAAGGATACCTGATCAACCAGGCTGTGACTCATACGTCAGGCTGCGAGCAGCCGCGTCCAACAGCCTGGTTGATCAGTCCAGCAACCAGGAGGCCTGGTCGACGACCGGGCCGCGGGGACGCTTAGCCCCGGAAGCACCTCAAGGTAACCTCAAGGGGATGTGATTGGGCTTCTTCTGTCGCCTTGAAGATTCTCCATTGCTCGTGGGCTATGGAATCGGTTTTCAGTGAAATCAGAAAGTGATAAACGGATCAATGAGGCTGTTACATAAGCTTCGAAAGTAGCTATTGGATTGACAAAATATGCAAAGACAAAAGAAATACAATAGGCGGTGAAACTATTTGATCTAGGCGGAGCGGAGCCGGTCGGCCGAGCGGACAGCACACTGGACTTGTGATCCTGTGGTCCCGGGTTCGATCCCGGATGCTGGCGAGAAACAATGGGCAGAGTTTCTTTCACCCTATCCCCCTGTTACCTAGCAGTGAAATAGGTACCTGGGTGTTAGTCAGCTGTCACGGGCTGCTTCCTGGGGATGGAGGCCTGGTCGAGGACCGGGCCGCGGGGACACTGAAAGCCCCGAAATCATCTCAAGATAACCTCAAGATATAGGCGATGGAAACCCCATAACAGTCCATAACTTCCTTACCTTGAGGTTACTTTGAGGTGCTTCCGGGGCTTAGCGTCCCCGCGGCCCGGTCGTCGACCAGACCTCCTGGTTGCTGGACTGATCAACCAGGCTGTTGGACGCGGCTGCTCGCAGCCTGACGTATGAGTCACAGCCTGGTTGATCAGGTATCCAGGTTTCCTTCGGGTCAAATGGCGAAATATTGTCTATTACTTCCCTTTACAAAACGATGGGGGCAGAATTTTAGACAAGATGGCCATCGAAAATTGAAGTGATTCAATTTTCAAAGGCATCAAATACTACACCTGGACAAAGGCATCAAATACTACACCTGGAATCCGAACAATCATTGGTAAAGGCACAGCGTCCAGGAAGCAGTTAGGGGCTAAGATCTGGGACCAGATTCACGAAAGCACTTACGCAAACACTTACGAACCTGTACATCTTTTCTCAATCTTTGGCGGCTTTGTTTCCAATTATTAAACAGTTAATGAGCTCTGAAGCACCAGGAGGCTGTTTATAACAATAACAACAGTTGAATGGCAAGTTTTCATGCTTGTAAACTGTTTAATAAATGTATCCAAAGCCGTCAAAGATTGAGGAAAGATGTACACGTTCGTAAGTGCTTTCGTGAATCTGGCCTCTGGAACTTGGGTTACATACGGAAATTAGGAAAGTTTGATGTCATTGTGTCTAAGGGGTGTCTAAGGGGGTGTCTAAGGGGTGTCCAAGGGGTGTCTAAGGGGGTGTCCAAGGGGTGTCTAAGGGGTGTCTAAGGGGTGTCTAAGGGGGTGTCTAAGGGGGTGTCAAAGTGGTGTCTAAGTGGTGTCTAAGGGGGTGTCTAAGGGGTGTCTAAGGGGGTGTCTAAGGGGTGTCTAAGGGGTGTCTAAGTGGTGTCTAAGTGGTGTCTAAGGGGGTGTCTAAGGGGTGTCTAAGGGGGTGTCTAAGGGGGTGTCTAAGGGGTGTCCAAGGGGTGTCTAAGTGGTGTCTAAGGGGTGTCTAAGGGGGTGTCTAAGGGGTGTCCAAGGGGGTGTCTAAGGGGTGTCTAAGTGGTGTCTAAGGGGTGTCTAAGGGGGTGTCTAAGGGGTGTCTAAGGGGTGTCTAAGTGGTGTCCAAGGGGGTGTCTAAGTGGTGTCTAAGGGGGTGTCTAAGGGGGTGTCCAAGGGGGTGTCCGAATGCATAACTAACAGTCATACTGTCAGATATATTTGTAGATAATTGACAACAAAATTGCGGAATCATTTTAACATCCGTAATCACAACCAACAACACACCAAAACACTACGCCATCACGCCCGACCAAACATATGTTGTCATTAAAATGTTCACTAAAACAGCTGTTTCCCTCAGGAGAGAGCAGCAGCAGCAGCAGCGTCAACAGCAGCAGCAGCAGCAGCAGCAGCAGCGTCAACAGCAGCAGCAGCAGCAGCAGCAGCAGCGTCAACAGCAGCAGCAGCAGCAGCAGCAGCGTCAACAGCAGCAGCAGCAGCGTCAACAGCAGCAGCAGCAGCAGCAGCAGCGTCAACAGCAGCAGCAGCAGCGTCAACAGCGTCAACAGCAGCAGCAGCAGCGTCAACAGCGTCAACAGCAGCAGCAGCAGCAGCAGCAGCGTCAACAGCGTCAACAGCAGCAGCAGCGTCAACAGCGTCAACAGCAGCAGCAGCAGCAGCAGCAGCGTCAACAGCAGCAGCAGCAGCAGCGTCAACAGCGTCAACAGCAGCAGCAGCAGCAGCAGCAGCAGCAGCAGCAGCAGCAGCGTCAACAGCGTCAACAGCAGCAGCAGCAGCAGCAGCAGCGTCAACAGCAGCAGCAGTAGAAGCAGCAGCAGCAGCGTCAGTGGCCGTGACGGGACAAACCAATCAGAGAAGACTCTTCCCAACACACTAATTGTCTTTAAATATACCGGATGGTCTTCAATCATCACTCAAGATGTAGTTAAGCCCCAGGTGGCCAGGCTGCCCCCCCTCCCCCCCCCCGGGTATATCAACAGTTAAGAGCCATAGTTAGGTTCATAAGACTGTATCCATATAAAATATATTACTACGTAATATCCCTTGTATCAATACAACTCTCAGGAGAACTGTAGGTTGATAATGACTACCCAGAACGGCAGCAGTTTGGCTTTGTAAGGTGTACCTTGTTAACCCGTTCTCGCACTTCCTTACAGTCAATATTGACTTATTAAATACGTGCATATGTGACATATTAAACATACTAGTTTACCTTGAAAAGCTTCATAGAAAACACCGACCTTACCTAACCTTCTTAGTATGTTAAGATACGCATCTTATTGCTTCGTAATTACAATTATTACAATTATATACCTATACCTATAATAGGTTAAGTAATAATTGTAATTACGAAGCAATAAGATGCTTACCTTAACATACTAAGAAGGTTAGGTGAGGTCGGTGTTTTCTATGAAGCTTTTCAAGGTAAACTAGTATGTTTAGTATGTCACATATGCACGTATTTAATATGTCAATATTGATTGTAAGAAAGTGCAAGAACGGGTTGCCCTTGTACACCTTAGAGTGTACACCTTAGAGTGTACACCTTAGAGTGTACACCTTAGAGTGTGCACCTTAGAGTGTACATCTTAGAGTGTACACCTTAGAGTGTACATCTTAGAGTGTACACCTTAGAGTGTACATCTTAGAGTGTACACCTTAGAGTGTACATCTTAGAGTGTACACCTTAGAGTGTACACCTTAGAGTGTACACCTTAGAGTGTACACCTTAGAGTGTACACCTTAGAGTGTGCACCTTAGAGTGCTTTTGAGTGGTTTGGTCAACCTCCGCGTGGGACAACAGCCTAGACAGTCGTTAGTCATCGCCACTAAGCACTAACAACCCAACAACCACCATTACGTAGTGATTCCCACTAAACACTAACAACAATCATTATGCAGTGACCACACACACTCGTACACTATACATGCATGGTACACTATACATGTGTAAGCATACTATACATGCAACATACACTATACATGTAAACCAATAAATAATAGTTTCCGGTACTGCTGGCGAGCGCCTCAAGTCTACCACACAACCAAAAAAAATACACGTTGACCAGACCACACATTAGAAGGTGAAGGGACGACGACGACGTTTCGGTCCGTCCTGGACCATTCCCAAGTCGATTGTGAGACCACTGTCAAGACAATCGACTTGAGAATGGTCCAGGACGGACTCGAAACGTCGTCGTCCCTTCACCTTCTAGGATTCTCAAGTCGATTGTGAGACCACTGTCAAGACAATCGACTTGAGAATGGTCCAGGACGGACCGAAACGTCGTCATTCCCCCTTCACCTTCTAGTGTGTGGTCTGGTCAACATACTTTAGCCACGTTATTGTGACTCCTCGCCTGCTAAAAGATACACGCTTGAAACCCACCAAAAATACACCATACACCCCTTCCCCACCTTTCCACATACACACACACACACCTTCAGAATCTAAGCGAGCCAGCATACACCAGCAAAATTCCCCCGTCCACCTTCCCCAATAATCCACTAAGCTCACTTACCTATGATACAAATTGGTTTCCTTATAAAACGTATTCTACCCAAGAAGCCCATGTACTTGGACCTGCAACCGGCAGCCCACATCCGTACGGCGTACTCCACGCCGAAGAACACAACGAGACAGATCTCCTGCAAGAAACGAAACAATTGTATCATTATTCGTTGCAACATATGAACCAAGTTAGCTGCAGAAGGCCTATTGGCCCATACGAGGCAGCTCCTATTTATAACCACTCAGTTAACCTTCAATCAAATCACCCAATCAGCTATAACAACCCAATCACCCCATTTGGAGCAGCGTTACAAGTTTTCCTCAGCGATCTAAATTGTTACTAAAAAAATTAGCCGTGTGTGGGTTGGGTAATAATGTTTTCATTAAATTTATTTAGAACTGACTTAGAACTTAGTTTATCTAGAACTGCCTTAGAAAGAACTTAGTTTATTTAAAACTGATTTATATGGTAAAACATTTAGAATGTGATTCATCCATACACGAGGAGAGAGAGAGAGAGAGAGAGAGAGAGAGAGAGAGAGAGAGAGAGAGAGAGAGAGAGAGAGAGAGAGAGAGAGAGAGAGAGAGAGAGAGAGAGAGAGAGAGAGAGACAGAGAGACAGACAGAGAGAGAGAGACACAGAGAGAGACAGACAGAGAGAGAGAGACAGAGAGAGAGAGACAGAGAGAGACAGACAGACAGACAGACAGACAGAAGTAAGGAAGGTAAACTAACTCTACATGATATACACTAATACAACAATATCCATAACACCAAGTTTACAGTTTACTTCTAGTTTGCAAGCACTATATAGACATCTAGACATAGATATAGACATAGAACATTTTGATAGATTTAACATCCCTTACGACACGGGTGAATGGGTAGAGAGGGAGAGGTGGGGGGGATAGTTAGTTTAATGCCCTGGCGGAGATGGCGTAATTGGGCCGTTGAGGCGAATAAATAGGTCAAAGGTCATCTCGTCCCGCTAGGAATTTGACCCAATTATAACCTGGTTTGCCAACGTGTGTGCAACCTAACTGTTGGTGGTGGTGAGTGGATTTGACGGACCAGTGGAAATAGGCGTCAATAGCACGGGAGCAATTGGCTATCGTAGTTTCGCCTGGTAATGTGCGTAATTGGGGGCTGCTGACAGGTGTAGATATATGTAATGATAACAGATATGTAATCGTGTCTATATCTGACACCGTCAGCGGATACACCTGACTACTCAGAGCTTTATAACTTATCACCTTGTACACCTGACTGATCAAGGTGGCAGCAGGTGTGTGTGTGTAAAACCTACGCATGGGAGATCTTACCGTTGGAGATCTTACCATGGGAGACTTTACCATGGGAGATCTTACCATGGGAGACCTTACCATGGGAGACCTTACCATGGGAGACTTTACCATGGGAGACCTTACCATGGGAGACCTTACCATGGGAGACTTTACCATGGGAGACCTTACCATGGGAGACCTTACCATGGGAGACCTTACCATGGGACACCTTACCATGGGAGACCTTACCATGGGAGATCTTACCATGGGAGACCTTACCATGGGAGACCTTACCATGGGAGACTTTACCATGGGAGACCTTACCATGGGAGACCTTACCATGGGAGACCTTACCATGGGAGACTTTACCATGGGAGACCTTACCATGGGAGACCTTACCATGGGAGACTTTACCATGGGAGACCTTACCATGGGAGACCTTACCATGGGACACCTTACCATGGGAGACCTTACCATGGGAGACCTTACCATGGGAGACCTTACCATGGGAGACCTTACCATGGGAGACCTTACCATGGGAGACTTTACCATGGGAGACCTTACCATGGGACTCCTTAATGTTCCTCTTCCTGTGTCAAGTCTTCAGTTAGAGCCAAGGTTGTGTCTTGCAATGTTTGCACTTAGTATATTGTTAGGTTGTATACATATACAACACAGAAATACACCTACAGCAACAACAACAATAACAAATATCACATGCAGGTGTGTGTGTGTGTGTGTACACGCCAAAATGCACATACACATATGTAGGCACGCAAGCACAAACGCTCGCGCACGCGCTCTATCACACACACACACACACACACACACACACACACACACACACACACACACACACACACACACACACACAGGGGGGCCCTGGTAGCCTGGTGGATAGAGCGCTGGACTCGTAATTCTGTGGCGCGGGTTCGATTCCCGCACCAGGCAGAAACAAATGGGCAAAGTTTCTTTCACCCTGAATGCCCCCTGTTACCTAGCAGTAAATAGGTACCTGGGAGTTAGTCAGCTGTCACGGGCTGCTTCCTGAGGGTGTGTGTGTGTGGTGTGGAAAAAAAGTAGTAAACAGTTGATTGAGAGGCGGGCCGAAAGAGCAAAGCTCAACCCCCGCAAACACAACTAGGTGAATACACACACACACACACACACACACACACACACACACACACACACACACACACACACACACACCAAGTAGCACGGGCTATGGTGAGCCCGTTACCTGGCACAGGAGCTGGGCTAAGAAGAAAACATGGTAGGCAGACCTTATACCCGCCAGAGCAGGTCACCTGACCACCAAAAACAGAAAAACGAAGACCTATTGACCTATATACAAGTAAAGAAAGTAGGATGAAACCTACCGATACAAGGGACGAAAATTACGGGATCGCCATAGCCCGTGCTACATGGATACTTCGTTCTGAGTAGCTAAATCTATAACAACAACAACGGGGACGAAAAAGGGGATTCGATGAAATATCTATATCTAAAATATATATATTTTAATGAGGCTACTTGATAAATTTTTTAAGTATCAGGGGAAAGCGCCAAGGCATTAAGACTATATAGCACTTAGAAGGGGTCAGGATAAGGATTTGGGATGGGAAGGGGGGGGGGGGGGGGATGGAATGGTATCCAACCACTTGTGGACGGTCGGGGATTGAACGCCGACCTGCATGCGGCTACTTGATAGATGTTTCCCTTTAAAAAAACAAAATGTCGATAAAACGACTCTGGTTCGAACCCTGAACAAAGTGTGACCGATTGGCCAGCCTTCCTAACACTTCGCCTTTTGTGGGGGGGGGGGGGGGGACCTGGTTGTAAATCAATTCACAGATTGAATTCTACGGAACACTTTATGCTAATTTACTGTTTTTTGTACCTATAAACTTAGGCCTAAATCCAAACTTATAATTATGTTAACAAAAACTGGTCACTCCAGTGAATCAGTTATTCAAAAATATTGTAAATGCATTTCTGAAACAGAAAATGGTTACTGATAAACACACACACACACACACACACACACACACACACACACACACACACACACACACACACACACACACACACACACACACACACACACACACACACACAGGGTGGGTGGTGGCTGAGTGGACAGCGCTCTAGACTCATGGACCTAGGGACCGGGGTTCGATCCCCCGACACTGCCGGAAAAGCAAATGGGGCAGAATTTCCTTCACCCTGATGCCCCTGTTACCTAGCAGTAAATAGGTATCTGGAAGTCAGACAGCTGCTACGGGCTGTTTCCCGGGGGTGCGTGTGTGTATGTGTGTGTGAAAAAAAATGAAAAAATAGTTAGTAGTTAGTAACAGTTGATTGATTGACAGTTGAGAGGCGGGTCGAAAGAGCAGATATCAACCCCCGCAAGCACAATTAAGTGAATACAACTAGGTGAATACATGTGATGAGGTCAAAAGGAATCTGTTGGAGCTGAATGTGACAAAGGCTGTTGGGCCTGACAGAATCTCACCATGGATACTAAAAGAAGGTGCAGAAGCACTAAGCGTACCACTCTCTATGGTGGTCACTGGAAACAGGAGATCTACCGGAAAGATGGAAGACAGCTAAAGTAGTTCCAATATGCAAAAAGGGTGACAGACAAGAGGCACAAGAGGCCAGTTTCCCCTAACTTGTATACCATGCAAGGTGATGGAGAAGATCGTAAGGAAAAGGCTCGTAGAGCATCTGGAGGGTAATAGCTTTATAACACATCACCAGCATGGGTTCATGGATGGTAAATCGTGTCTCATAGGTTTAATAGAATTTCTATGACCAAGCACAAAAAAATAGGCAAAAAAGAGAAGGGTGGGTAGACTGCATTTTCTTGGACTGTCAGAAAGCTTTTGACACAGTTCCCCATAAAAGGTTGTTACGAAAGTTGCAGCAACAGGCAGAAATAAAAAGTAAGGTGCTCCAGTGGATAAGGGAGTATCTAAGTAACAGGAAACAGCGAGTAACTGTGACGGGTGAGACATCAGAGTGGCGAGATGTCACCAGCGGAGTCCCACAGGGCTCTGTACTTGGACCCATCCTGTTTCTAATATATGTAAACGATCTTCCAGAGGGTATAGACTCATTCCTCTCAATGTTTGCTGATGATGCAAAAATTATGAGAAGAATCAAGACAGATGATGATAGACAGAAACTACAGGACGACCTGGACAGACTGGAGGAATGGTCTAGAAAATAGCTACTAAAGTTCAACTCAGGAAAGTGCAAAGTAATGAAATTAGGCGAAGGGAGCAGAAGGTTGAACACAAGGTACCATCTGGGAGGTGAAATCCTACATGAGTCAAATACAGAGAAAGATCTGGGGGTTGATATCACACCGAACCTGTCCCCAGAGGCCCACATCAAAAGGATATCCTCAGCGGCATATGCTAGACTGGTCAATATAAGAATTGCTTTTAGAAACTTATGTTAGGAATCGTTCAGGACCCTGTATACCACTTATGTCAGACCAATCCTGGAATATGCAGCTCCAGCTTCTAGTCCATACGTAGTTAAACACAAGACAAAGTTAGAGAAGATTCAGCGGTATGCCACCATACTCATCTCGGAACTGAGATGTATGAGCTACGAAGATAGGCTAAAGAAGCTGAAACTCACGTCCCTGGAAGAAAGAAGAGCAAGGGGAGACATGATAACCACCTACAAAATTCTCAGGGGAATTGACAGTGTGGAAAAATTCCTTAGCACGGGCGGAACACGAACAAGGGGACACAGGTGGAAACTGAGTACCCAAATGAGCCACAGAGACATTAGAAAAAACTTTTTCAGCGTCAGAGTAGTTAACAGATGGAATGCATTAGGCAGTGATGTGGTGGAGGCTGACTCCATACACAGTTTCAAATCTAGATAAGATAGAGCCCAGTAGGCTCAGGAACCTGTACACCAGTTGATTGACAGTTGAGAGGCGGGCCCAAAGAGACAAAGCTCAACCCTCCGCAAGCATAACTAGGTGAATACACACACACTAAAAACACAACCCATCAGAGACAAATATCTCATTCCTCACATACACAAAGCAGCACCGCTCACCTCCATTAACTTCCACCCATTAGATGAGAGATAATGTGACTTACCATCCAAAAGAGAGTCTCATTGGCAAAGTCTTCATACTGGGTGATGGTGGACAGCACACTGAAGATAAGGCATATCAACACCGCCATGAACCTGTCAAAGAAAAATGGTCTCAATGAAAAGGGGAAAATTAGTATTAGAGAATAGTGGCTTAACTGGTCTATAGTGGCTTAACTGATTATTAAGAGACAGTAATGTGATTCACATCTAATCAACACATTGGTGATTAGCAGTAAATTATATATATATATATATATATATATATATATATATATATATATATATATATATATATATATATATATATATATATATATATATATATATATATATATGTCGTACCTAGTAGCCAGAACTCACTTCTCAGCCTACTATTCAAGGCCCGATTTGCTTAATAAGCCAAGTTTTCCTGAATTAATATATTTACTATAATTTTTTTCTTATGAAATGATAAAGCAACCCTTTTCTCTATGTATGAGGTCAATTTTTTTTTATTGGAGTTAAAATTAACGTAGATATATGACCGAACCTAACCAACCCTACCTAACCTAACCTAACCTATATTTATAGGTAAGGTTAGGTTAGGTAGCCCAAAAAAGCTAGGTTAGGTTAGGTTAGGTAGGTTAGGTAGACGAAAAAACATTAATTCATGAAAACTTGGCTTATTAGGCAAATCGGGCCTTGAATAGTAGGCTGAGAAGTGCGTTCTGGCTATTAGGTACGACATATATATATATATATATATATATATATATATATATATATATATATATATATATATATATATATATATATATATATATATTTTTTTTTTTTTTTTTTTTTTTTTTTTCTACATGGTGGGTAGAGTACTCTACCCACCATGAGAGTAAGGACAAGACAAGAACATATCGATGCCAACACAGAAGACAATGTCCAACATAACAGGCCAATTACACTGGATTAATCTTTGTGTTTAGATAGGAGATGCCTCGTATGGGCCAATAAGCCTTCTGCAACCTCTATGTTTCACCTCACATTTATCCCTTATGTATCCCCCCATGTTTTCACCTTCATTGTATTATCACCTGACCTAATGCGGGTATAAATATAACTAGTATTGTAAGATCTGTTCACTTGAGAATGAACCATGGAGGTTCGAAACGTCGTGCAAATTATACAAATAAGTGTAATACACTCTATAGTAAATCACTTCTTTTCTTCACCTTAAAAGTACGAAAATGAGTTTTGGAGAACTCCTATTTCAATTAAGCCCTGATGCTAAGAAAATAGTTAGAGGGATAGAAGCCCTAAACCAGAAAATAATAAATACAGAATATGCGGTCATATTCAATGAAACATGTTTGAAAGAAAACCTGCTGCCAGTATACACCAATATATATATATATATATATATATATATATATATATATATATATATATATATATATATATATATATATATATATATATATATATATATATATTGGTGATTTGGTAAAATGAGGTGATTTGGTAAAATGCTATGCCCAAGATTACTATCCGAGTGCCGGCGGTGGGGTGGTTCAAATAGCCTCGGCTATCACCTCATTTTGTCCGGTCGTGATGGTCAAGTGGATTAAGGCGTCTTGTACATACCAGTTGCGTTTGCTCCTGGGAGTATGGGTTCGAGTCACTTCTGGGGTGTGAGTTTTCAGTTGCATATTGTCCTGGGGACCATTCAGGCTTGTTCGCATTTGTGTTCCTCACGTGTGCCCCAAAGAATGAGGTGATTTGGTAAAATGCTATGCCCAAGATTACTATCCGAGTGCCGGCGGTGGGGTGGTTCAAATAGCCTCGGCTATCACCTCATTTTGTCCGGTCGTGCTGGTCAAGTGGATTAAGGCGTCTTGTACATACCAGTTGCGTTTGCTCCTGGGAGTATGGGTTCGAGTCACTTCTGGGGTGTGAGTTTTCAGTTGCATATTGTCCTGGGGACCATTCAGGCTTGTTCGCATTTGTGTTCCTCACGTGTGCCCCAAAGAATGAGGTGATTTGGTAAAATGCTATGCCCAAGATTACTATCCGAGTGCCGGCGGTGGGGTGGTTCAAATAGCCTCGGCTATCACCTCATTTTGTCCGGTCGTGATGGTCAAGTGGATTAAGGCGTCTTGTACATACCAGTTGCATTTGCTCCTGGGAGTATGGGTTCGAGTCACTTCTGGGGTGTGAGTTTTCAGTTGCATATTGTCCTGGGGACCATTCAGGCTACTACTTGGGGAGTAGAAGAACTCCCAGAACCCCATCAACCAGGTATCAACCAGGCTTGTTCGCATATATATATATATATATATATATATATATATATATATATATATATATATATATATATATATATATATATATATATATATATATATATATATATATGTCGTACCTAGTAGCCAGAACGCACTTCTCAGCCTACTATGCAAGGCCCGATTTGCCTAATAGGCCAAGTTTTCATGAATTAATTGTTTTTCGGCTACCTAACCTACCTAACCTAACCTAACCTAACTTTTTCGGCTACCTAACCTAACCTAACCTATAAAGATAGGTTAGGTTAGGTTAGGTAGGGTTGGTTAGGTTCAGTCATATATCTACGTTAATTTTAACTCCTTAAAAAAAATGACCTCATACATAACGAAATGGGTAGCTTTATCATTTCATAAGAAAAAAAATAGAGAAAATATATTAATTCAGGAAAACTTGGCTTATTAGGCAAATCGGGCCTTGCATAGTAGGCCGAGAAGTGCGTTCTGGCTACTAGGTACGACATATATATATATATATATATATATATATATATATATATATATATATATATATATATATATATATATATTATATATATATATATATAAATTCTTATCGCTGGTGGTCAATTTTTAATAGTATCTAAATTAGTCATTAACAAATTATAACTTTCCTACCATTTATAACTTTCTCTTGGCTCAAGTTATTGTGTCAAAGTTTAGCCCGTACTTTTTGTTGGAGAAAGTTATAATTCTCCTTCCGTATTACTGGAGAACAACCTCTCCCACTGATAATAATAATCCGTAAGATTAACGCAAGGACTTGGTCGACGAAGGTACAACAATGTATTTCAATTTTGTTGTTTGATAATTCAGTATTTTATAAATATTTTAATGTCCGGATAGGTGTGACGTGATTCCCCCTACATAAGGGTGGAAGCTGCCTCTTCCAGCCACCCTCGAGCTACCATACCTCCTCTACAACATCACAACTAGAGAGCTACCTCTAGTCAGACGTCTGGAGAACACAACCCCCTAACAACCCCACAACTCCACCCTGTCCCGAGAGCCCCCACACGCCAGGTAAATGCAGGTGACCTGTATAGCACGCTAACTATCCATTACTCCGCCGGCTCATATTTACACCTCACCTTGCTGCCAGCGTGACATGACCCCGCAGGTGTATATATAAGTTCCGGGTATTATGGGCTCACCATAGCCCGTGCTACATGGACACTTCGTTCTGAGTAGCCAAATCTAAAGCAGCATCACTTTGAAACACTTCCAGTTTCTCCCATTGGTTATCACTGAGGGATGTACGAGCAGGAGCAGCATAGTCGATGAGTGACCTAACTGCTTGAACGTAGTACATTTTGAGTACTGGTAGAGATGCACCATCTCTAAGACTGGTCAGGGAGCGCAAAGCTGAGTTTCTGGCTTTACACCGTTGCCGAAGATATTCAATGTCTTGAGTGAATTTCAACTGACTGTCTATTATGACTCCTAGGTATTGAAAAGAGGTAACCCACTCAATTTCGTGTCCTTGTATTGCCAGTCTGATGTCTTGAGTTCTCATTTTAACCGCCATTGGTTTGGTTTTATTGCTGTTTATTTTCACTGTTATGCGTTCCACTTCCCTGCTGATAATATCTAGGCATTTTTGTGCATGGTTCCTGGCGCCTTTGCCTTGATGATGACCACAAAGTCGTCTACATAGTTAAGCAGTTTGGCTTTTGGTAACTTAAGCTTCATGAATTGTTCCACGAGACAGTTGGAGAGGAAGGGGCTTAGTATTCCTCCCTGAGGAGTTCCATTTTCCAGCCTCTGAGGTCGATGTTTTTCCTTGGAATTGACTTTAGCTTCTCGGTTAAGCAGGCTTCCTTTGGCACAGGCAAGAGCGTGTCCTTTGATTTCCTTATCCACAAGGCAGCACAGTGTAGCTGGAGCACTGGCTAACTCGAATTGGCTTTCTAGGTCTAGAAAAATAAGGATTCCAGGTTTGTCATGGATATGATCCAGGAGGGAGGTAAGGCATTCTGTGGTTCCAACACCTTTTCTGGAAGCAAACATATTTTGATGTAGTGGATTGACTTTCCATTCAATTCGATTAAGAGCCATTCTTTTCGCAGTTTTGGCCAGACAGCTTGTTAATGAGATGGGTCTTGGATTTCCTGGGTCTTTAGCTTTTGGAATGGGAACTACAATTGCACTATTATAGGACACCCGGGGTGTCCTACACGGGGTGTAGGTATGTATGATCTTCTATGATCTATGACACATTATAGAAGGCAGTTAAACAGATTTTAACAACCAGAAAAGTCAAGAATTTAAAGAAATAAAAATTCGTCTCTCCCAGCCCACTCTAGATGTTTCTTCTAAGTAACATTCCCTCTACTTTGTTCATTTGTTACATTCCTTCTATTTCCCCTTCCTCCCTCCCTCCCTCTCTCCCTCCTTCCCTAGACGCCCCCCCCCCCCATCTCTCTCTCTCCCTCACATCCCTCCCTAAAATACAGCCGCTACATTAGCTCCTAATTTCCCTTCTTGCTCAACCTGTTATTTTCTAAGCACCAGTTTCATCTCTCTCTCTACTTCTCTCCCCCTTCTTCTCCTTTCCCTCATCTCTCCTCCCCCCCGTGCTGGTCCTCTGCGCCTACATTGCCACTCTCGCGTTAATTGTCTTCTCTTACAGTCACTTTAAGACCAGAGAAGAGGTTGATGGTGGTGAGAGGTGGAGGATAGGGGTGAGGGGAAGTGGTGGGGAGAAGGATAGGGGTGAGGGGAGGAGGATAGGGGTGAGGGGAAGTGGTGGGGAGAAGGATGGGGGTGAGGGGAAGT